ACTCTCTAACCCACTTGTGTACATCCTTCTGTAAATTCGGCCATATATATCTGGCATTGATTATTTTTGATGAAGCTTTTGCACCAGGATGAGACAAAGAATGAAAGTTATTATATATCAACTTTCGCATACTTTTGGGAACGAAAGGTCGCGGCATTGCCTTGGTCATGTCACAGTAGATTAGAATACCATCTATAGGTGATGGTAACTGTTTTAGATTAAGCCTTGAATTGTTTGTTTTAAGCAGGTTTTTTTAATTCTAGATCGTGCTCTTGTTCGTTTCTCGACATCTCGAAGTTTACTGTGGACTGCTGTAGCACGTTCATTTCTAGCCTAGATAAAGCATCTGCCGCCTGATTGTCCTGACCTTTGACATGTCGGATATCGCTTGTGAACTGTGATATGTAGTCAAAGTGCCGGACTTCTGGAGGTGTGTATTTATTGGCTCTCGCTTTTAATGCATTTGTTAGTGGTTTGTGATCCGTAGACTATAAATTTCCTGCTTTTTAGCATGTGTCGGAAGAGTTTAATGGTCATGTAGATTTCAAGGAGTTCTCACCCGAAGGTAGAATACCTTGTCTCTGTTGGAGCGAGTCTCTTCGAGAAGAACGCAATTGGTTTCCAGGCGTTTTAAACCAGTTGGTTAATAGTACCGCCTACTCCTCTATCTGAAGCATCCACCATCAAAGCAAGTGGGGAAAGGGAATTCGGATACATCAACGTAGTTGCTTGAACCAGTCTATCTTTAAGCTGTTTAGTTGCTTCGACTGTGTCAGAAGACAGTTTGAATTCTTTTGGTTTGTCTTTAAGTGAATCTGTCAAAGGTTGCATTAATTGTGCACAACCGATTATGAATCTGCAATAGAAGTTAATTAGACCTAGAAAACTTCTCGGTTGTGTTAGAGAACTAGGTACGGGGTATCGTTTGATGGTGTCCACTCCTTTTCTGATTGGTGTAATCCCTTCTGGGCTTATTGTGTGACCGAGAAATTCTAGAGTTCGAACAACAAAAACACACTTTGATGTATGTTCATTCCATGTTCATCCAGTCTTTTCAACACTGCTTGTACATGCTGTTCGTGTGATAGTATATCGAGGCTGGCAATAACAAATCGTCTATATACGCTTGTGCAAATAGCACATCTCGAAGTAGGTTATCCATGAATCTTTGATATGTTTGTGCCGCATTTCTCAGGCCGAATGGCATGCGTACGAACTCGAATAAGCCAAAAGGTGTAGTGATAGCTGTCTTGGGGATATCTTCATCAGCCACCGGGATATTGTGATATGCCCTGACTAAGTCAATTTTAGTAAATATCTTCACACCCTGTAAACCGTTTGTGAAATCTTGGATATGTGGTATTATGTACCTATCTGGCACGGTTTGACGGTTGAAGGCTCTGTAACCCCCGCACGGTGGCCAATCGCCTTCAACCTTCTTTGGGACTATATGCAAAGAGGATGCCTATTGACTATCAAAGGAACGGATAATAACCAGTTGTAGCATATAGTCAAATTCGGCCCTGGCGATTTTGAGCTTATCTCCTGGGTTTTGCAGACACAAATGCACCTTCGGTTTTGATAGTATGACTTACGTTTAGTTTGTCATTAGAAGGTTATGGCTTTAGTCTAGTTAAGTTTGGAAATTCCGCGAGTATATCTTGGAATTTCGCTGTTGTTACTGGAGGAGTTTGGATCAAGTTAAGAGATGTGATGTAATTTTCTTCGCCTTTTGTGTAATTCCAAGTTTCTTTCAGTGTTAAGCGCCGTTTCTTGGTGTCAACTAAAAATTTGTATCTCTCTAGAAAGTCCACCCCAGTATTGCCAGATCTAAATCGGCTACAGTGAAAACCCAGGGGAAATGCCTCCTGAACCCACAAATGTCGCGATTTTAGTTTTATTGGCAGCTTGAAGTATAATTGGGGATGCTTCCCAATTCAGCCCAGTGTTAATTTGAGGGATGATACTAAGAGCAGCGTCAGTATCTACTGAGAATTTCAAGCCAGAGTTCTTGTTTCTAACATAAAAAAAACGACTGTTTAGGCGCCCTTCCTCAGTCGTCGCGACCTGTGGATGGGTTACTTGTTTCCTGCCTTCTTGAAATTTCGCTAAGGCCAAGCGCATGTTTGCATGCACTTGGTTGAGTCGACACCGAACTTCCAGTGAAACCAACAGAACTGCCCAGGTTGTCTGAACATTTGTGACTTGTTTTGTGACTTGGGTCTTAGTCGTTGTGGTGACCTGCTACTGTTTCTTTGACCTATTTGCATTCTGGCGGTAGCCTCAGTGAGATTTTAACACTCTCAATGCGTCCTTCTATGACTGGGTTTTTTGCTGGTTATACTTTCTGTGTGTGATTTATCGTGCGTGATCCAGATGTAGGACCCCTTTCCATTATTCTATCTGCTATACGCTCTAAATGAGATAAGGAGGATCTTGTGCATCGAAACAGTGGTAGACGTAGCATGGGAGAGCTTGTATCCATTCTTGTCTTAGGACTGCTTCACGAACTGTGTTATCACCCACTAATACTTGAAGCTGAAGTAAAAACTGTGACGGCGACCTATCACCTAGTGTTCCTCCTTGGTTAAGGCTCTGGATTCTTTGGCTCTCTGTCTTAAGATAGTGTATGCTTGTGGTGATGGTCGAATTAAATTCAAGTCACGAACTTCTTCGGCAACTGAAGGAGAAATGATAGAGCACAAGACTCTATAGCGAATTCCTTCATATTTGATATTGTGTCTCGCGAAATAATGCTCTAGTTGAGCAAATTGCAACTCAGAATCACTGCGTCAAATAATATTATTAAGAAAAATGAGGTTAAATTTGTGTTCAATAGGGCTCACCAGTTTCGTGCCTCTAGGTAACCCTCGTGCTATTGATAGAAGAAACCAGACAATGAGTGAATAGGTCTTTGTTTAGATCTTCACACAGTCGCAGTGGAGAGTGAGGGTGTTTGTTCAGACAAACAAAGCCTCTCAACATTCAGTATAAGATAATAAGAAATATAGCGCCTATACAAAACGAGGAAGTGGATGAATACTTGAACCATACTGTTTCGAGATATGCTTAGTTGTTTGAGGTGAACTCTTAACCAACCAACCTAAGCTGTTCCAATGCAACCTGGCTGTGTTCGGAGTCAGTCAAACCCACTGGAACCAAGCCGGACAGAAACGGGTTGTTTCAGGAGAGATGCTGTTCTACTCCGGTCACGAACAACAAAATGTTCCACACGCTTACACAGTTGCTATGATGTTGTCAAAATGAGCATATAAAGCACTCATAGGATGGGAATCTCATGCACCCAGAATCATCAAAGCACCCTCAAAACAAAGGAGGAGGGATTCATAATGAATGTTGTCCAGAGTTATGCACCAACCAAATGATATAAATGACGACGATAGAGATCAGTTTTATGAGTAGCTGCAATCCATCATAGAGCAGTGCCCAGAAAGCGACCTGACCATCCTGATGGGAGACATAAACGTCGAATTCAGAATGGACAACACCAGATATCAAGATATCATGGAACGACATGGACTAAATGGAATGCGAGGATGTGAAATGGTGAGAGATTTTCAAAATCATGTGCATTCAACAAAATGGTTATGGGTGGCACAACATTCTCCCATAAGCGCACGCACAAACCTATTCTGGATCTCACATTGGCCTATTACCAGGATTACGTCACTGAACCCCCTTATATGCGACCTATAGGTAAAAGGGATCATACAGTTATGATCTTTGATCTCCACACAGTTGTCAGTAACGAGAATTTGTCACTCCATGCCAGACCAAGCAATTATACAGTAGTATGCACTCATCATTCCTAGCAGACTGCACAATAGAGCCAGAGTTTCTCAATGAAACGAGTTGGGATACATTCCGACTGTAGTAGGCGCAAATATTCGTGCATAAATTAAGGAGACAAGAGAAGACTTAACATCCTGGCATTATCGGGGGACAGTAGAACCGCGTCAACAATAGGGGACGATTGTAGTATATCCAATGTATTTTAAAATGACTTTAGCAATGTATTTGCTGTAGACATACCCTTCTCCTCAGTTCATACAACCCTCTACACACACTGTGACAATTAAAGAACTCTATGTCTTCGGTCTGCTAAATAAGCTTGACATAAACAATCCACGGGGGCCCAATGGAATGCATCCTATATTAATAAAGGAAATAGCGATTTTTGTTACGAATCCCTTGATAATATGGATCAACTTTCTTGACTACGTCTACAAAAATTCAAGTTGACCGTTGAATGTTACGATAGTCCTTTACCCATAACGATAGATTAAGACAAAAATGGACGTGATTGCAATTGAGAAATCCTCAAAGTACAAAACCAAGGTGCCAAGAAGAGACCCGGATAATTTTAAAAAACCTAGGACACTAATTAGGCATCAGTCAATGAAAAAGAGAATTAAGAATTTGATGGTCGAAGACCAGGTCAGGAGAAAGAACGATCAGAGTTCATACGAAGATATGGGCTGGAAATTTACTATTAAAAACTATCTAAAATTAAAAGCACATGGAACGTAAGAATCAACTAATTGACAAGTAAAACTTATTTTTTAACGGTTCAAGTGGAGAATACAAACTGAACAAAGACACTGTAGCATACAAAACGTCAAACAAGCAAGGAAATATATGGTATTTCTATGTGATTACAAAAATTGTCAAGTTTATGTATTACAATTTGGCGCATCTCGAACAACGATTCCGATATTTATTTCTACCGTTCATAGATCATATAAGAGGCAGTTTCACAAAGTTTAGTGATTGAGAATAAGCTTTCTGCTCTAGAGTTCCGTTTCTCGCATGGTCTTGGATGACTGAAGTTAATTATCAATATTCAGTATTAACACCTTATACAGTAACATTCACAGTTAGACTGAATTTTTATAGTTGTAATAGTTCCATGAGTTAGAATAGATCACTTGATCTTTATCTGTGAGTAAAAACTGTTAGGGTGTTTGTTTAAGTTTCTCAGACCACAAGTTAGCGCGTCTTTGAATGTGATGTCTGGAGTGAGGTTAGACAATACGGATATTTTCGAACGTGTTGGAGCCGAGTCATATGGACGACCTGGTGAAGAAACTGGTGCGACAGACACTAAAGAAAATGCTCCACACTATACCATTCAAGGGGTATTACATTTCTTGCAAACTGAGTGGAATCGTCTTGAAATGCAACGCTCCCAATGGGAAGTCGAGCGAGCTGAATTGCAAGTAAATACGGCCGATTATCTAATTGTTTATATTATTTTTTATTTGGCCCGGGTGTCGAATCTTTTAAGTTCTGGTAGTTAAATATTGGATGTTTATAACTAAAGTCACTTAGTGTTTTTTATCAAAGAGAAAACACAAAGTATTAGTTGTATTAATGCCCCAGTAGCGAACGTAATGTCAGTTTTCATGTAGACTGTATAAAATAGGAAATGTTTCTGTTAGTCCGTGGAAGTTCGTATTTCGTACCCTACTGATTTATTAATACCATTTCAATATATTAAGAGCTCTGTCATATTTCTGTTTGTCTGGGAGTGACTTTATTTTTTTGTAGTTTCAAGCTAATCCATTAGTCACTTCATCCTCCAACGTATCTAACGTTTGGAGATCGTCTCAGTTCTGACTCAGTTGATTTGGAACTTGGTTGCAGGGGTAGACAATATTTGTGCTTACGTGACCAGTTTTGTAAGTACTGTTAAACCTATGAAATCTCTAGAGTCTTCCTGCTTTCTCTTTGCTCGCGGAATGTTAACGTGCTTAAAAATAGTAATGCGGCACTTTTGCAGTTGGGTCTAAAGAGCTAAGGGAAATCTAGTCTGGCGCTGTTCCAGTGTTCTTTCTTTGGCTATCAAATACTTCTTAAATAGGATTTAATCCTGATGTTTGTATGCTCCCCCATGTGGGACCTTTTGATAACACGAAGGCATTCGTTCTCTAACATTCTTTAGATCAGTTGTTGACTTGTATCCCGAGATTTTATTCAGTCCTTCTGAAGTGTTTTCTTACTACCAATGTACTCTTCATATCCCATATTATCACTTTCCTCTTGTGTTGATGATAGCTGTGATGGTTTAAGCACACACTTTCGTCATTTATGACTGATTGATGTTTCAAGAATTTCGTGTTTTTTAGCATCAGTTCAATCTTCCTCACTTTATCTGTAGGCACGAATAGCATTCCTTCAAGGGGAGCGTCGTGGTCAGGAAAATCTAAAGCAGGACTTAGTTCGACGAATTAAAATGCTAGAGTATGGTTTGAAACAGGAGCGTGTCAAATTTCATCTATACAAAGCTTCAATTTCTGCTGGCAACCCACCTACTTCCCTTAAACAAACTGATCAAGAATCTAGTACCAGAAATGAATCAACCACCGCAAAGCCTGTGCTAAAACCAGCTGAAAAACTAGCTGAGTGTACTGAGCAGACTCTCGAAAGTAATGTGAAGTGGCGAGAGAGTCGATTACGTCTCAAACAGTAAGTCTTCTAATATTTAAAATCAATGTTTTTTTACCCAATGCAATATTGTTTCCGAGCCATTTATTACAGTAGTATAATAATGTTCATTAATTGTTCGGCCTTCAGCTGTTTTCACTATTGTTGACGACGCCACACGATTATGTCAAAACAATCCAACTCATCCACAGTTCCCTAATATACCAGTTTCGCGTAAGTACACTGTAGATATGAGGGCCAGTGATACTAGCCAATTACTCTTGCACTCTACAGTTTTCACTCCCTACGCATCGTAATTTAACTAGTACATTTTTCATCCATAGTCCAGCTAGAGTAAAGTAAAGATATATGAATAGACAAACGTTTTTCTTATATCACGTACGGCTGAAGTTGGGGCGAGCCAGCTCACTCTCACGAAATGCTCATATGGTCACGCATATGCAGACACTGTCAGTCACTTAGTTAGCCAGCTACATATATGCATCGGTTCAAGTTGCCATATCTCATGAACACAAGATGAACACCAAATTCATAGAAGCAGTTACTTCAACGGCAGTATTATATGTAAAAGAGTGTATATCAGTATCTGATACAGGGGGGAAAGAATAAGTTCAAAGAAAGAAAGGTATAAAGTAATTTTAATTTCACAGTATAAAAGAAGATAATGATTGTATACACCTACACGATTGTGATTGATTCTGAGTCATGTCATACAGAGTCTCCAACCATTGGTTAGGATAGTCACGCAAATCCCAACCAGTTAGTCTGCATCTAACAACATGGCTCAGTGTATATTTAGTGCCTCCTTGTATCAATGTTCGTTTTTGAATAAAATCAATAATGTTCATAAGTATACTTTCTCACCATGTCGACGTATTTTATGGTCGATAATCTTTGAAAAATATATTGTCTATGTTCGCACTGGCTTACGGGTAGTTTATGTTCACTTCCAAAAAACCTAGGTTTCTTCAGGAAGTTGGTTATGCAGATGCTGTCCTCAGTGTACGCGAAGCACGTGTACGCCATTTATTGTTGTCAGCTGCAGGGTGGCCTAATGAACCTGATTCTTCTCTCACGACTGCAGATCCGAAGAATAAACACTATCTTTGGGAATGTGATAAGCCCAAGTCAAAACTCACTGATAATGCTGGGTGAGTGATCGATTTTATGGTTATAGTAATCAAAATTTTTAGTGATTTATTTTTCTTAGGTATGCTCATATCAACACCTTTTAAATGGTCTAGTACCGACAACTTGAAATAAGTATCCACTGTAAACAAATATTTTATTGCGACTTATTATCTTACGAGATAGTAAAGTTCTTAAAATTAATCCATGTTCTGTTTGAGTCATTGGCAATGTCCAAACACTGGAGTGTATAGGCATTCAGTGGATGAGTTTACCGTAGGTGACTGCCAAATAACCATTAGGGTTATAATTGTTTGGCAAAACAATTTGATGATGCGAAACCTGGAAGTGTAATTGTTTGGTTTTTCAATCGTCATGTGCTGTAATATGGACTAGCAAATAAATGTCGCGTGATTTGGGAACTCATTTGTCTGTCAGTCAACGTGGGACCTAGCATTAGTGTGCATTGTTCCAAGCTGCTGCGCATCACATCAATTCAGCAACAGCAAATCTATTCATAGAATAACAGACAATGTGAAATCATATCAAGTGGTGTGGGAATCCAAACATTTGAAGAAACACTTCAAAGGTGAGGTGAGGTGACGGAATGTTCAAACCTACAACCCATTAGTTTTAAACTGGGTTTCTTGAAACTTGACATATTTATTATTCAGTTGATGAGATTTACTAACGTTCATGGAGTAAAGAAGTTCTTAATGTTTGTTCGCTTTCATTGTACATTTTACTACCACCATGGTTATGATGCCAGCCTTCAAGATGAACTTGCGGAAGACGCTATAGCAAAAATAAATCAGGTTGTGCGCTCAGGCTCAGATTTTCTCACGTCTGATGATTTGGGTTCTGGATTTGGTAGTGAGTTAAATGACCAATCTACCGAACCGGATACAACAGGGAATTCTGGTACTGACAATTCGGAATCATTTGATAACGCAAGTTGGGTGAACAGATTTCGTCGAACAAGTGATGCGAATAAACGCAAATCGCAGGGTCAAACAAATTACTCGCAACGAAATGAGGTAAGTATTTGGCGTTTCGTCATAAACGTGTTATTACTGAAAAAGTGGTTTTTAGCAATTCAAATGTATTTCGGTGAGTCGAATTATGTAAATAAACAGTTAATCAGTCAGTTACATAGGGCCTAAAATAAGTATGCGTTAGCCCAAGTTCCCGCACCACATTAGCGTGACGAGATGAAATTAACAAGAGAAATAAGAAAAGGTCAAAAAGGTAGTATCAGTCGTAGTGAGGAAGATTGAATATTAGAGAATACGGTCCAGATGGAGAGGATGAATTTGAAGGAGCACTACGAATCAATGTTGAAACCCCAACTAGGTAGTCGGCGTCTACCAAAATGTGTCAATTCAACGGTCACGGATTTCAGCCTATTCCAACTCTGGGCAACATTATACATTGAGGTAGTCGGATAAGGATAGGTAACATTTTGTTGGTCTTCACCGAATGGTAAAATGTTCTCGGTATTGTTTGGCTCAAGGTAACCCTCTTGAGAACTAGTCTCTGGGAAGGTAAACAAAGGGAATGTTTTCTAGAAGACTATCCAGCCCTAACAATCTGCAGTTGAGGTGTAAATAAATTGTAATAACCAAGATATATATTTCCCATATGACAATTCATCGAGGTCTGTTTAAATGACGACCAAGGAAATAGTCTTATCTTTTAATGACCAGTCTAAAATAATCTCCAGGTGTTTGTAATACGTATCCTAGATCTAAAAGTGGTCTTTCTATCCGGATCCCCAGCATTGATAATCCTTATCTGTAGTTCATAGTTTTATGAGTGTCGCTTAAAAATACCGTGACTTTCAGCAAACTATGGTTGTAAGACACATACTTAAGGTCTACTATGTTATAAACACTAACTGGATGGTCGACTGGAGCAATATTGTGGTGTGTATAATTATCAGTTCTGTTTGTATTAAGACTTTAAAAGGATGAAAAATAGAAAAGTATTAATACAATTCATTACCATCATGTATCCCCGATTTCTGTTTACATTATTATTTCATCTCTTCTCTTTCTCTAATGTGGTAGTATTCCAAGAATATAACTTCTAGTACCACAGTATCCTCGTTTCTGAACAGTTTTGGGGAAATTGGAAGTGCAGGACAATCGAAGCGATTCGGTCGTAAACATGCAGCTGATACAAATATTTTGGTGAGAGTTTTATTGCTCACATAGTTTTGGATTTTTTGACATGTCTCTTACCATTCTTTACCTGAAGTTTCCCTCAAACTTGATTGTTCTGACCATAACTCATTGGTTAATATGCGATTTCATTTTTCGCTCGTTCAAGGTTGTTACTCTGTACAGTTGTTTTCATAACACCACTTCCTTTTGTGTACAGCAATGTAGCGGACGAGTTTTAATCCTCAAGTAATTCTGTCGTTTAAGATCACTGTATGTTATGTTCTACATGTGTCGCGTGAGTGGTAAGATAAAACTTGACTAGCCACAGTGTTCTAGATCGTGAACAGCAAAGCGAGTTCTGCAAATTTACATCATCGTGTGTTTAAAGGTCGTAGAAATAACTTTTCAGTGGACTTTTCCGTCTTGAAACACAAGTCCCGGTGACTTGTTTATTTTTTACACAAGTCCTAGTTGCCACGTGTTCTTTACCGATTCTATGATTGGTTGGAAAAAGTTAAGCGGTTGCTGATTTGTGACATGACTCCTTGTAGTAAATAATGATTGCGCCTAGTCCTAGTCCACGATTGCAACTCAGTGGCTTTAGATATCAAACTTTACTAAATAAATGTCAGTGTCAACTCTGCTTCAATCTTCCCTAGCATTCATAGTAAACGATGGAACGCTAACTGGACGAAATGCTTTATGGTTGTGTTCTTATTTGTGTGATTCGTTTGTAAGCATCTTATCTTTCCAAATAATCAATAAAAAAGTTGATTTCATACTAAAACATTGATTAGTCGTGTATGGAAAACTAGCTTAAAGGTCAACAGAACCATTCGTTAATTTTCTGCAAATGACATTCAATATAGCTTCGCGTACTGCTCTAAAGATATTCGTTGTCTACAATATTTTTGCCCGACTTTGAAAATACCACAAAGAAATGATTCACCAAGTTTCTCTGTTTGATTCGTTTTTATGTTTCAGTTTATTCTCTATTTCTCCTAGGATTTAATCAACACATTGTCGGAAAAAGTTGATAATAATGATGATTTTTTATCAAACGCTGTATCTGATATTAATTCAACCGCCGCAGTATATCCTAGTAGTGGTCAAACTCCGAATTCTGTCTCACCAAACAATAAATCGAGTTCACCAAATAATGGAACAAATTTATGGGGATCGGACTTATCAGATCCCAGTGTTGTAGATTCTACTGGTCAGGTTGGTGTAAAAGGTCGTCTGGAGTCTGTGAAAGAATCTAATCCGACAGATCCTCTTGGGCTAGGTGATCTGGCTAGTTTAACTGTAGCTAACGAAGCTGATTCAGGTTTAAGTAAGTGCTATTAATTTTTTTCCGGACTTAAGACTAATTAAGAGCACGAGAATTTATGGCCATAGTAATAATAATAATAATGATAATAATAATGATAATAATAATAATAATAATAATAATAATTCGGCCTTAAGTTTATTCGTTAATGATTGTAACCTCTACAAAACTGGTATCCCACAGTCTCTTATATTCTAAATGACTTGTTTATCTTGTTTAATATTTTGTATTTAAATTTAACGTTCAAATAAGAGAAAATAAGTTTTTGTTGACTTATTCTGTATCTTAATACCCGTTCACCTGAGATTTCGCAAATAATGTTCATATGACATATTAGTTTGAACAATCTGTCCTCTGTTATAACAATGTATAAAAAACATACCTTATAATCTGATGCTATTATGTTTACCTGGTTTAACAAAATTGTTTTTATCTTGAATGTTTATATATTATTACAGAATAGTTTATCCGCACATACAGCACGTAACCATTCCAGCTGAATAACATGTTTTTCACTTTGCAGATGGTTTTTGAGACTTGATACTTTTTTTCCAATCATTATAATTACGGTGTGGTTTGGTTCTTCGTTCTTTAGATCGATACTTCTAAAGAAGACACTCTGTGGTCATACAAGTTTCTCTGCTTTTTCTATCCGTTCTAACTATAATTTGTTCATTATGAACTAAGTGATTAGTATGATTTAAAGCATTTTCGTAGTCAAAGTACAAGTAATTTTTCTATTCTTGTTTTATCACTTCTGAACATGATTTCTGATGAATCTCGTAAAAACTGAATTCAGATCTCATCAAACTAAATGGTTTAGATTTGATGGCGTTTTACTCATGCCCGATCACTGATTACCATGACATGCAATGCTGACTGGTGTTGGAGGCGAATGGAAGAAATTTAGGGGCGGTCAAACCAAAACATGGCATCAGTCCACAAAGTCACTAACTTCTGGTCTGAGCCATGTTGTTAGATGCAGACTAATTGGTTGGGGTTTGCGTGACTATCCTAACCAATGGTTGGAGACTGTGTGACATGACTCAGAGTCAATCACAATGGTGTAGTTGTATACACTCGTTTTCTTCCTTTATACTGTGAAATTAAAATTACTTTATACCTTTCTTTCTTCGAACTAATTCTTTCCCCCTGTATCAGATGCTGATATACACTCTTTTACATATAATACTGCCGTTGAAGTAACTGCTTCTATGAATTTGGTGTTCATCTTGTTGTGTTAATGAGATATGGCAACTTGGACTGATGCATATATTTGCCTGTTCCTTCATTATAGCTGACTGACTGAACTGCGATTAGTCACTATAAATTAATGGTGTTTCAGTCAAATTTTTGCGGTTTGCGTTTAATTCCTGTGTAACTTGGTCTTTAAATTGTGGGCAGAATAAATTCAACTTATTTGACTGTCACTGTAAATTTTATGAAAAAGTAGAAAGTTGTCATTGCTTAAATTAGTTGCTTCTTGATAATAACAATAATCATACCCATTAGCCACAATAATTTACTGGGATTTTAAGTGATTTTTGAATTTCAATCTAAAAAATCGTTTTAAATGTTAGAACAAACTGATAGAAGAATACGCTTTATCTTAATTAACATCACTTAGCTTCATTATTCGTTTCATTATTACGGTACGGCTACTCTTATTGCTTAGCATTCGTGAATACTGCTTCACTCGACGCGTTCCAAATCAGAACATGGTTGAACAAGAATGTAATTATGTTCCAAATAAGCAGGATTGAATGGTAGTGCGTAGGTATCATCATGAGGAAAGCGTTCATATGTTCGCCATTTTCGATTTTAGAAGTATGTAGAGTCTTCTCTACGTATCCGTTATCTCGGATGGGTTAGGAAATATTCAGTCAACGTGCCCCAACAAAATTCTTCACAGAGCGTGTTTTAATCCAATCTATATTCCGCTAATACATGTTTTTAACTCTCACTTCATTTAAAATTCTTTCTGTTTTCAGTGTTAATTCGCTCATTTAAGGTAATTTTCTTGTCATCATTTTTTTCTCAGATGGTGATGTTTGTGACTCAAATTTACCTGGAAGTAATTATGAATCATCAGTGCTGGGTGGCTCTGTCAGTAGTAATGCTCAAGTAGACAGTGCGGCAAATATTTCATCAACCTACTCAACTGGTCGTCGACCGTGGGCCCCGAGATATACACTTCGCGGTCACTTCGACGGTATCAGAAGCGTTGCATTTCATCCCACCGAACGAGCTGTTTATACTGCTGGTGAAGATGGATGTGTAATGCTTTGGAATTTGTTAAAAACTGGGCCTCCGGGATCGGTATGCTTTTTCTCTATTGTAATAATTAGTATAATTATATGTATGTGCTTATCGCCTCTTTTTCAGCCCCATCTATATTGGGTCATGTTTTGTATGCTAGAGTGAACTGTACAGTGTCCTGTCGATTACAATTAATTCCAAATTGGTTTTTTATCTTAAGAATCTTATTAAGATTGTGATAAAGTATTTTGAATTCACTAGTTTGTGACGTAATTCTTCATTACCTATGTATCTAGTTGACCACATCGCATTCTTTACTCGATTTTACCTGTTGCAGTTCTTATAACTATGCCCCCAAAAAAGTATAGAGTATCTAGAAAACCAACTCACCTTTGTGTACAGTTCACATTCAACCTACAGCATAATATTGATTTCCATTAACCCGGTTTACTAAGTCAGTACAGAGAGATGAAGTTAGTTAGATGATCAATCAGGATTGCTCGTTGATATAGATTGTATTCAGGGCTACGTGACATGTTCCTTCCACATCGACATACGAAGATTCGTAATCATCAACCCGTTTACCATTTTTGGCATAACGACTTATGTATTCGGCTGTTCCATGTTACGTGTTCCATGCTCCGAAGGTACGTTTGATCAAAATCCTACAACCTACATTTATGTTCTGTCTTCATAGACCATGTTTCACACTCATGAAGCAGTACAGATTAGACTGCTGCATAGTATACTTTCCCCTTACTTTGCAGACGGTCATTTCGTCCACGCCACAGTTAATACAAGTTTAGAAAAGCCAAGGGAGCTTTCTGAACCGGTGTCGCGACTTTATTAGACACCGATCCTTTATGGTCTAACTATCACTTTTACGGATTAATACAGACCAATACTGAAGGAACATTTTCTATTTAGAGGGATGGAAACATAACTGAAACATACTTCGATTGTTACTCAAGGTTCTCAGATGACTAAATTTTATGGGCGACCTTAACAACAGGACTATTGTATTTCCGAACTCCAAGTTGACTAATGAATCCCCAGGTTGGAGATCGATCCTTGCATGTTTGATGAACAAAATGTTATCTGTAGAGATTTATGTCTAGCAAAATCAAAAACTGAGTGGAAGAACTTAATGAATACTACTAGGTATTTATAATTCTAGCGACATTCTACCACAAGCTATGTCTTGAACAGTGGTACTTTTCAGTACGTTTTGTAATCAACGGGAAACAACAAGATTTTTAGTATACACAAATGCATATTTCAAAGTTTCCCATCCACTGCAAATGGCCTAATTTTAGATTAGTAATATTAGTAAGACGTTTGCAGTAAAGGAGAAGCCTTGAAATATAATTCATTCATGTTATTCTGCAAATCTTGTTCTCGCTTTATTTATTAAGGGACCAGGATGTATAAAACGTCTTTTAATGAAACTCGAAACCTCAGTTAGTTGAGTCAAATGATATCTTAAAGCCCAAAATTACAACTATTATGTAAAAGCATTCAGGCCGTACTTATAACATACATCATTTGCAACTGTATTTTATAATAATCAAAATACTTAGTATTGTTTTGAGTACATACAGTGAATTCCTGATATTTGTTTATCCAAAAAATCTTTGTAAAGCTCACAGTTTATATTACAGAGGATATTGGATGTGATCGGATAGAGAGAAGTTCAACTTTGGTTAGAATTATTTCCGTGCTGCGTTAAACTTTATATCCCTTCCATAGGATTTACTATAAAATTAGTTATCAATAATTAACTCTTTACCCGTAGTTCTAAGTTTTAAAATATTATATCAATGCTACTTGATCATTACTTTAAAAAGGCTAGTCATCGATTTAGGTTGTATTCATCTATTTTATAGGCTATTACCTCAGGAAGAGCAGGTCTCAATTCAGGTCCAGTGGACGAATTGTCACCTGTACATGTTTACTGTGGCCATAAAGGCCCTGTTTTGTGTGTCACTACGCCAAGCCCTCTGCTTTCCTCAACTATGAGTACTGCTGTGTATTCTGGTGGTCTTGATGGAACAGTTCGATCATGGCGTTTACCATCTGCCTCTAATGGTCTAGGTCTGATTGACATATATGCACCTCAAGAACTAGAAACTGTGACTGGTCCAGTTTTTGCAAGTGAGTCATTCATTAGTAAATATGTATCTCTTGTAAAAAATAATTTATAGATTTATGTACCATTTAAGTTATTTGGAGAAACAATAGGTTATCTGTACAAGTTACTCAAATTTTGTGACAATCAAAAATACCATAAAATACACCGCACGTACTCTGGATAAATTAATAATTCATTAAATAACATTAAATAAGTTATAGAAATGTTGAATCAGTATCCGTTAATACATGGTGAATTCATATGGGTAAGTAATTGCGATGTGTATCTGTTGCCTGGAGAAAGACTTCTCGACCTTGAGTATGCGGATGGTACCCAAGCCATGCAATCCGCACTTAATCAGTTGGCAATCAGTGTCCGTAGGTATGGTACGTGCTTTGCACCTTCGAAGTGCAAAGTACTTCTACAAGACTGGCAGGATTCCAATCCTGTACTCACCCTGGATGGTGAGCAAATAGAAGTAATCGAGAAATTCGTTTATCTGGGTAGCTGCACAGCTGTTGGTGGTGGTGTGAGTGATGAGATCAATGCACGAATAGTGAAAGCCAGAGCGGCTTATGCCAATCTAGTCCATCTTTGGCGGCTTCGTGATGTTAGTCTGGCTGTAAAAGGCCGGATCTACAACGCGTCGGTGAGAGCAGTTTTGCTCTATGCTTGTGAGACCTGGTCTCTCCGAGTTGAGGACGCTAGACGACTCTGTGTGCATGGTCATTGTGGTCTCGGAAGGATTGCTGACATCCAGTGGCAACACCATGTCAATAATGCAGAGGTTCGGCGTCGTGTGTTCGTGCGCAGAGGTGATAATTCAATTGGTGTCACTATCTTGAAACATTGACTTTGGTGGCTTGGACATGTTCTACGAATGTCGTCCCAGAGAATTCCACGTCGTGCATTATTTGCCGACTCTGGGACTGGTTGGAAGAAGCGGAGAGGTGGTCAGTGCATGACATGGTGTCGTGGTATGGAAGAAAGCTACAAAGGGATGGCTTCTGTTGGTTTTGCACGACTCCCTGGCTGGGGTGCGAGAGATGGTGCAACACAGTGACTAAAGACGCTATCACATATGGCTCAAAATATAAGTCAGTGGTAATCCTGCTGTAACCTTCTACTTTCTTCATAGAAAGTGGTTGTATCTTCCTTAACTGAAAAAATACTTCTGGTTGTACCTTTACGTTTCCCCATTATTATTATTATTATTATTATTATTATTATTATTATTATTATTATTATTATTATTATTACACTACCTTACACTAATCTGTGGTCGTTATTGTTTTTTTTCTTTTTCATTCCTTACACGCACCTTTTTTCTTTCCCCATTCTCATTGTTTTGTGTAGCGCATATATATTCGGTGCCCCCTTGTACCAATATTTATGTGTTCAAATGAAATAAAAACACATAAACTACGGTACAAGTAGGCACCAAATAGATATAAATCATTCGATTTGTATGAGTGCTGGAATACTGTCCGGGCACCCAAAACGAAACATTCGGCTTTCTTAGGGGGTCACACTCCGAGCATTTGACTTAAAGGTCTAATCTACAAGGCAATGGAGCAACGTCAGGAGATGCAGTAGCATGGTAGCCGGTGACCAGTAATTGGTTCATACTCCATTTTTTCCCTCAAGATCCTGGAGCCTATGTGCACCATTGGTTTGGAATTAGGGTTTTCCAACTTCCCTAGGTGGATCCTCTATATTCACCAACCCGGTTAAAGCGCCGGACATTCGCTTTTCTTCCTCTCAATTTCGTAAACAACAGTAATTGCTCAAGACGACAGTGAGTAGGACTTCCTTGGCGGTGGTTGTATGCACGTGACCATGTGAAAGCATTTGGAGAGGGAGAGCTGATTATCCCTACTCTCGGCCGTACCAGGGCATTTATGGGCAAAGCATGACGATTGGCTTTTGCAGTGTGGAAGTGCCTTGTGTTGTATTTCAACAATTTTTAAGAAATTCGTTATTCATTTTGGAAAATTTACTGTGATCTTTATCAAATTTTTATTTTTTCCTTTAGATTCATCATCACCTGTTTGGTCAATCGCTGTACACCCATCTAGTCCTCTGTTACTTGCTGCTCATGCAAATGGTTCTATCGATTTTTGGTCTACTGTAGAAAAGCTTGAAAATGATTCACCAATTTCTCCAGTCCTATCAGTTCATATGGATCGCCTAATTAAACCTTTAGGTATGTCATTTTATAGCGTCTAATCAATTGTGTTGTTGTCAGTTCTAAGATAAACTGTGTATACAGCAAATTCAGATGACCGAACAATATAAATGTGTATTTAGGTTTATCTGTTTTTTTTATTCTCAAGAAGTTAGTGGGTCTGCCTGTAACGTTGAGAAAAATATTTTCCTTAATTTTAGTGAATATTTGTATTGTTCGACTTTCGATTTGAAAGCGTAACCGCTAATTTTGACGTATGTTCATATTAATCAAACATAGAATTTCAAACGTTACTATTTCAATTGTATAAATCTAAACTCCTGCTTCGGTTTGGGCTCCCGGGCCGCATCCTAACCTTCACACAAATCTAATGATTTAAGTGGCACATGTCTATCTGATGCCTACTTGTACCAATGTTTGTGTGTTTAAATAAACAAATCTAAACTGATTATATAAACTAACCACAGCATTATTTTTAGAGTCGAAAAACTTTCAGTGTATATGATTTACATATTGTCATCAAATTTGTAACCTGATGGAATTCATTGACAAAATACTGTCTTTGCCTTTGACCCACACGTTGTGTGTGTGTGTAAAGGTTAGTGTTGTAATTCGGTATTTGGGTATTTTGTCAAAAAAATGTATGCTTGATTACAAAATATTCAAAGCATTTATTTCAATAGTACATCGACCTTGATACTCATAACGATAGTTTTAGTGTAAATACATGTCACAATTTCTCAATTTTTTATTATCAGTAAATACTTAAATAAAAATATTTATTACTATTTGAATTAGTCACATATAAACACAACATGTGTATTTATTGATTTTAGGTGCTAATGAACCTCCGTTCGGACGTCCAACTTGTCTTCATTTTTTGGTCAGCCGTCCGGATTCATTAACTGCCTCTCAATGTGTTGTTGGAACTAGCACGGGATGGTTAGCGCTATTAGATGTTCAGACTGGTCAATTAATTAATCAAATACCACCAGCACCTCCTCTGACCGATCCTAGTCGCGATGAGCAGCCACTGAATATGGGTATGTCAATAAATTGTTTCATTTTAAAATGTACCTAAATTCCCGAATAAGCATATCTCTAAAGGTTGTGTACTTTGTGAAATTGACATTTTCTGGATGTATTACTAGGACTGATAAAATCAATGTAATCAAAACTGTATTTACTCTTTCAACAAATTAACTGGTAATTTAGGACTGATTCTCATTCAGATAGTTTTTAATTCAATGGTTCTAACTAGGTGTGAAATCAAGGTATCTATAGCTATAACCAAATGCTGTATATCTGATTATATTTGTGACCCATCATAGCTGAATTTTCATCTTGTCTTATTACTACAAGCTGCGATCCTGTTTACTTATGTCATAACGTATTTGATATTGTTGAGTATTCCCGATAGTAGTTCCAAGGAAAAACATTGCATCATTCCTGCAAATGCATATGTAATGATGTTGTTCTTATTTACTTATCACATCGGTCTAGCACTTTTTAATGCACTTAATTACTCTTTGCGTTTAGTAGGCAATTCAAATAAATTTTTTGTAAGATATCCTCCCTATACATGGTAGTTAGTACTCGTCATGATTGGGTTATGTATTCATACATTTATTTCACATCGAACAATCCATTAGTTATGTAAAATAGATACACGCTTAAATATTTTATCATTAACGGATCTTATCTAATTATTGTTATTTGAAATAACACTTTTTAGCAAACATACCGGTAGCAGGCGAATGTAGTTTACCTTCTGGTTGGACAGAACGCTCACTTAATGCTCTGGGTTCACACCAAACATTATCTCTCGTTATTGGAGCCCATGAAGATCGTTGTATTCGGTTCTATGATATCAACCGCATGTCCGACCGTTCATCAGTTACAAATTCGGCATGTGTAGACGCTATGGTTACACATTTGAATGCTGTTACAAGCCTTGCAGTCGATCCTCACGGTCTGTATTTATTGACTGGAAGTAAGTTTATACATTAATTTTTGTAAACTTTATTTTTTCATTACGGTAAAACACCTAGTATTCTGCCTATTGATGATTGATTGTGTGTTTTTATGAATAAAACGCTCATTTTAAAGTAGGGTATATATTTTGACTCTATCAGTTGAACAGTTTAGCTTCTATTGGAGGGATTTAGTAACCAAGTCATTAATGAAACAGCCCAGTGTATTCACCATTCGTATCCATAAACGTGTATTTGATAACTGGCAGCCTACTTGAATATTTGGGTTTCTTGTTCCTGCCATCTAGATATTTCAACAAGAACATTTCTGAAAAGTTTGCAACCTTTCACTGTACAAGTTACAAAAAAGTACAGTCAGCGACCTCGTGGCGGCTAGCAATATGCATTGAAATGCACGAGCATTATTCACTTGTCGATTCCTGAACTGCTAACATCTAAATGGCGATCATTCCATATTTATCGTCAGGATCGATTAAGAGATAATAATTAGTTTACAACGCTAAATTTTTCAATCATAATTTTAATGTCCGATTCGTACACCATATTCATCTCTATTCAATTGTTATTATCACACTGATTTTATCCTTTTTTTATTCTGCCTTAGGTCATGATGCCTCTATCCGTGTTTGGGATGTTGAAAGTCGTACATGCATACAAGAAATGACTAATCATGGATTCAAATACAATGAATCAGTTCATTCAGTAGCTTTACATCCACAACTTCCTTTAGCAGCTAGTGCTGGAGCAGATGCTATATGCAAAATTTATGTAACAGCTACATAAATAATTGATTAATTTCGATTATATTCTCACTCTTTTCACCAGTGTTAAACTGTATAACTTTTTTGTTTTCGTATTATATGACATTAATGTTCGGTTGATATTCTATTTTTTCCCCATCTACTGTTTATGTATGTATGTATGTCTTCTCATTCCGTTTTATTGTTTGTTAATTGTAGAAAACGTATATTTATACATAATTTTGATCTGCATGCCTACTTGAACATTGTCGTAGTCTTCAAAGACTTGATAGTATTCTTGACCATTTCAATTTATTAGTAGTAATTAATGTGTTTGTTTTTTTCTTCATTCTATCCATTTTATTTTGTTTTTGGCATTTTATCATTTCTCTTCTAATTTGCTTACATAAATTAGTTAGATTTACTTTTATTTATGCATTGTGTTATATTCGTTTTACATAGATACACTTGTCTTTATTATCTAAGCTAGAGGACTTGTAGTTTGTTTCATATGCTGATTAATTTCAAGGTGAATACGTACTACATACTCTATTCATTATCATCATTAAACTCGGTTGCTTTTATTTTCAATTATATACATATATGATCTCTTTTTCTGAAAAAAAAACTATTTCATGCTCATTATTTCAATGATTGTTGATCAATAAAAAGCATGGATTGTTCAAAATAATTGGACAGATTGTGCTATCTTGCTCCCTACTCATGTTTGTGTGTTTCATTGTGTTTCCTTTTTCTCTTGCACATTTTTACGTAGCTCTCTCCTTGTGCAGGTTATTCTACTTACTAATGATAATAGAATTAGTGAAATTTCGATAATATTGAAGCGATTCTCTATCATGTGACTTCTGATTTCGTTTTTTTGGATACATTTTATTTTTGTGAGTAAGATTGTGATGAATGGCATCCGAGATCTGATACTGATACTCAGTGCGCTACGCGCTATCTTCCAAAACTGGCTACTTGAGCAAGATAACAAGAGTGGAGAAGTAAGTCTATTGAACTACAGAATAATATGCATAAATACTCATATATCTTTCCATTTAGGAAATCAATCCATTTCTCGACCTATGATATGCGTTTGTCCTTCAGATCACTTCTGATTGTCATCAAGTAATTCTGTTTTAGTTACTTCATATTGACTCACTGTATCACCTTTCCCTTCCGTTATGATCTCTCCTATCACGGTACAGCTCTTCCTATTGCTTAGTACTTGGGAACACTACTTCACTCGACACATCTACGAATCAGAGTACGGATACACAGAAACGTAGTTCTATTCCAAATAAACAAGGTTGATTGGTATTGGGTAGATATCATAATTACGAAAACGTTACTATGTTTGTAAATTTCGCATCAGAAGATTGTAGAATCTTCTCTATGTATCCGTTATCTCGGATCGGTTAAAAAAACTCAATCAACGTGCCCCAACACAATTCTTCACAGAAAATCTTTTAATGCAATCTATATTCCGCTAACACCTGAAATATAAGCCGGAATCTTTGAGTTTAACTGAAGACGTTGAAGAAAACAAGATTTTCTTGATTTCGCGGTATGACTGTCACTTCTTTTTGTGAATACATCGCGTCAGATAGATTCTGTTTCTTTCGAAAACTGATTCAGCAGGGATTACATCATTAGGTGAGATTGGGTGAGGAATTATTCCGGGTGATTTTCTCTGTCATGCCCTCCCCTCTGTTATTATTTCGGAAATCATTGAAAAACTTGTACTTTCATTTATCATATGAGAATAGGGAGATTGATATAGGGTTGAACGAAATACTTGGTTGCAAATAAGGTTGATGGTTTTCTGTGATTCACTCTTAATGAGCTTTAGTTAAACTTAAAAGAATTATTGAGGCTAATATTTCAAACGCCGTGTTGGTTAAACTGGTTCCTCTGTGGTTTTCGCGATACGTCTATTTTAGACTTAGCTAAAATATAGGAACTGGACGCTATCACATATGGTTAGTTTCAACCGTCTAAGATTTCAGTTAATCTAACTGCTAAGGCTGGACCACCATCATTTAGCCATTCAGATTACTTGGAGATAGTGGGTAATCCTAGATATCATCACTCTGGAATCTAATCTGCTTTTTTATATTTCTTGATACCAAGCGACACCATATATTAAAATCGACTGGAATTCTAATATTCTTTAACCCATGTTTGCTATTCCGTTTTTACTTTAACGTTATTTACTTGACCGATTTGACTATTGACCTGCACACTTAACCTTAAGCCGACGCAAGCTGAGCTCCTATTTCCTTACTATTTATGAATCCTCTAACACTTTTGATTTCAAACAGAATTAAATAGCCAGCTATTATTATTATTATTATTATTATTATTATTATTATTATTATTATTATTATTATTATTATTATTATTATTCAAACACGTTGGTTTTTATACAAACATCACCTCGCACCATAAAATGAAAAATCACAATTACATATAAACGATAGACTGGTAAAAAATTAAGAACAGTACTTAATGGGTTAAATGGAAGCTCATTAGAAACGGAATATATAGACACAGTAATTCGAGTACTTGGTAATTTTACAACAAAAATTTCGATAAGTTCCGACTTGTACAATATTCGTTCTATTAAAATAGCTTTATGATGTAATTATTTAAGTCGGCATCGTTGTGGATCATCTTTAATTGGATTAGAGACCAATCACTTCGTCGTTGTCTGCGATCGGTATTCATTAATATCATGGACTTGCAATGTTTCATCACATGGTTACTCTGGTTTTAGTACTTCGCCATCTCTTGATCTTTGGACATACTTAAAGTACTGCGGAGTTATATTCATCGCGGTTCCTAATACATACAGTTTCTCGTAAAATCCTTCTCTATAGTCTTTATAGCATCAAATTGATTGAGAACGATGTATGTCTGTTTGGTAAATTGGCTAGCCAGTAAGGCGGTGCATGAAATCTAATTGACTTTCCATATAATTTATTTTTCTTTACTTCAAATGACGTGTAGTTGTATAGGTGACATTAGAATTTGTTGAGTATCTAAAACTTCTGGAATAGTTGGGTTTTACAAAATAAAATGGAACCTGATAAGGGATATGTATACGAATAATTTTAATCCAGTATTTTTAGTAGAAGACAAGGATCTGAATATTCAATTATGTATCATTGATAACGTAATTCTGAAGTTTAGTTACTTTGTATATTTATACTGGGACAAGTGGTGCAACATGTGTTAAAATGTTTTCAATCTCTTACCGTTTTCTTTACAGTGAGAAATGCCATGCTACATTGTTCTTACTTCTTCACTTCTGTCTATGGGGATTTCATTTGGGTATTAGGCTTATTTTGAATTAGTGTTACTGGTAGACAAGCATGCTCTTCCATCAGTAAATACATCGTACAACTGGTGTTAGAGCAGTTTATAAATTTCCATGTAGAATTTATCAGGAATATTTTCGGAGGCCAATGTAAATCCTAGTCACCCATTATATATATTAACCTATTTCGAGTTTCGAAGCAAATTTTTCTAATTTCAAACTTGCCTTAGGGATCATACTTACGCCTGTTACTCCTCGAGACGGAGCATAAGCCGCTCACCAGCATTCTCCATCCAAACCTGTCCTGGGCAATCCTTTCTAGCTCCGTCCAGTTGTAATTCATCTTTTTCATATCTGCTTCTATTATCCGACGCAATGTGTTCTTTGGCCTTCCTCTCTCCCGCTTCCCTTAAGGATTCCAAGTTAGGGCTTGCCTCGTGATGGAGTTTGACGATTTGCGTAATGTATGTCCTATCCATTTCCATCGTCTTTTCCTAATTTCCTCTTCAGCTGGAAGCTGATTTGTTCTCTCCCACAAAAGGCTATTGCTGATGGTATCCGGCCAATGGATGTTGAGTATCTTGCGTAGACAGCTATTTATAAATACTTGCACTTTGTTGATTGTGGTTGTTGTAGTTCTCCAAGTTTCATCTCCTCACAATAGAACTGTTATGACGTTCGTATTGAAGATTGTGACTTTGATATTGGTTGATAGTTGTTTTGAGTTGCATATGTTCTTCAATTGTAGGAATGCGACCCTTGCTTTGCCGACCCTCGCCTTTACGTCTGCATCTGAACCTCCTTGTTCATCGATGATGCTTCCCAGATATGTGAAGGATTCTACATCTTCCAGAGTTTCGCCATCAAGAGTGATTGGATTGCTGTTTTCCGCTTTGAATTTGAGGACCTTAGTTTTCCCTTTGTGTATGCTGAGGCCTACTGATGCAGAGACTGCTGCTACACTGTCTGTCTTTATCTGCATTTGTTCAGGTGTATGTGATAGGAGGGCTAGGTCATCTGCGAAGTCCAAATCGTCTAATTGATTCTGAGCCGTCCATTGTATTCCGTGTTTTCCTTTAGATGTTGAGGTCTTCATAATCCAGTCGACCACCAGGAGAAAGAGGAAGGGAGAGAGTAAACAGCCTTGTCTTACTCCGGTCCTTACTTGGAATGCATCTGTCAGCTGTCCTTTAGGGATCATAATCCACTTTTATGATAATGTGGAAATGTATTATCTTTCCCATATTTGCGGTAAACACATCATTTATTTAACCTATTCTCATTCTTATGTAGGATGTTTTGATGAGTAAACGAGTGATCATGTTGTTTGAAATGTAATGCACATGTAAATAACATAGTGAGCTAATTCCGTTGCTATATTAGACGATAATTTATTTGAAAGAGAAATTTTAAACTTGATCAAGCGATTTATCATTTGTTTTATTATGGTCATGAAGCTGTATCTCAATACAGTGTGTTATGATAATAGATTGGAGATAGTTTTATAGGTTGCATTACAGACTAACTTTAGTCAGATAACTATTGAAAAATAGGAAGCAATGGATCGATGTTTTTTGTCTTTGTACTAATATTCTCAATGTTGGTCATCCATAACCTGGTGGCAATCAAGCTCAGGCTCTAGATCTCGCTGTTAGCAGTTAAATTTAGACTAATAAAGCAGCAGGCAGTAGTTTACAATCAATTAGTGATATTGCGCAACTATTTTTTAATCTCGATAATGTAATAAGAAGACAAAGTTTATCAGAATTATGTGATATATTAGTGAACAATCTGATCATACATATACTTGTTAAGAGCATTTATATATAAAAATAAAAGGTCAACTAGACTGGAAATGGGGTAAGAGGAGATAAGGATAATAATAAGAGCAATAATAATATGAACACAAAGCGAAACCTAATCACTCTGGATAATAAGTCAATATTACCAGGGTAGGTTTAAGGTAAGAACAAACTGTTTTTGAACACACAAAGGGGCTTTGAATTTTCGTATGGCTAAGGCTTTAATAAACCTTAGTATACGCCCTTTTACACTTTTATACAACACCACAAAGGCCGGGTTTAGATCAATCTTATGATCTGTTTCAATTATATGTTTAGTAATAGAGAATGATGGATGTTTACCCTCTACTCTTATTGGGTCACTTGATTGTATTTTTTTCTGAAGCCATTTTGGTACATGCTTACACACCCTAATGTTGAGATCACAATTTCTCCTCCCTATGTATGTGTGACCACACACACATTTAAATTGGTAAACACAGTGGGATGTGACACAATCGTTTTCATGTCTTTTAGGTTTTGGATGAAGCATGCACCTTGTTCTTTCTTTGATAGTGAGCTTTACTGCGCAATACGTTTTATTCATGACTGATTTAAGTCTTTGTTTGAATAAAAGGCTAGTTTAATCACCTCTGAACGGCAATGTGATGTAGACAGGCATTTTTCTGACAAGGCTACAGTAGGTCTCACTGTACCATGGACTTTCCATCTATTTATGAATTTCAGAGGATAGCCATTTTCTGTTAATGTTTTATTTAGCAACTTAACATCATCATCAATGGCGTCATTTGTACAAATACGATCAAGTCTGTTGAAAAGGCACCTTATCAAACCACGTTTGTATTGCACAGGGCAATAACTATAATAACTAACGTATTGACCTGTCCATGTTGGTTTTCTTAAAATAGATCGCTTGACTTAGCCATCTTCTCGTCTACTCAGAAGTATATATAGGAAGGGGAGCTGATCGTTCTTCTCCTCTTCACTTGAGAGATTGATATAGTTTTGGTGAGTGTTAAATTTATTCAATAAACAGTACATATCTTCTTTTCTCTCACAAACAACTAAGATATTGTCCACATATCTCTTATAAAGTGACATGTTTCTGATTAGTTCATCAGTCTGATTTTCAACATGTGCCGTGAACACATCTGCTAATAATTATCCTAGCGGACTACCCATAGCAACTCCATCAATCTGACCAAAGTATTCACCTTCAAAAGTGAACTGAACTTTGTCAGTACATAGTAATAGTAAATCTTTAAGAAGTTTTACAGGTACACATGATTGAAAATTGTTTACAGATATGTAATCACATAATATATTAATGGTTTTTTTAAAGGTACATTTGTAAACAAGGAATTTACATCAAATGAACACATTGTCTTTTCCTTGATATTAATATCATCTAAATGATCAACCAGTTCAAAAGAATCCTTTAGAGAATACTTACATAGATGTCTTCGAATAGGATCCAACAACTTTGCTAACCATTTAGCCAGATTATATGTAGGTGATCTGCACATTGATAGAATTGGACGTAAAGGAACATTAGGTTTCTGAATTTTAGGCAGTCCATATAAATGAGGGTACTCGGAACCCATAGGTTTTAGAAAATTAAATTCCTCTTTATTAATAGTATTCATGAGTAGCAATTTTTCTAGGTCTGAATTTACTCTTCCTCCTATTTTGCTAATATATCTCTAAATTCAACATCAGGCATAAATTTACTTTCATCATTTAGGATGAATAACATCATATATTGACATTTATTCATGATAACTACGCATGATCCTTTATCAGGTTTTAACATTTATTTATTTATTTATTTATTTGGACACATGAATATTGGTACAAGAGAGCTCCAGTATATATGCGCCACACAAAACAATGAAAATTCGAGAGGAATACAAAGAAAGAGAAAAAAAAGCTAAGGAGCGCAACAAAAAAAAGAGAGAACAATAACGAAGAGATTGGTGTAAAGTAATGTGCTAGTAATCAGGGAACGCAAAGGCACAATCGGAAGAAATCCTTCATTTAAGGAAGATACAACCACTTTTTATGAAGAAAGTAAAAGAAGGTTACAGCAGGATCGCCACTGGCTTCTATTCTGAGCTATATCTGATAACGTCTCTAGCCACTGTGTAGCACCATCTCTCAGACCCCAACCAGGGAGTCGTGAAGGACCAACAGAAGCCAGTCTTTGCAGCTTCCTTTCATGCCACGACACCATG